GAGTTGGTGTACTTGAACCTCACTACAAATATTACCTGTTATTAAACTGAAAAATATCGTACTCGTCAAGAAAAGTAACAATAAATACAAGTTTAATTTTTTTTCGTGCCAAGTATATTGCTTCGAATTTATTACATTTTGAAAAGGTCTCTCATGCGAAGATCTAACTTGTTTTATTTGCAATCATTCCGCCTGGTAAATTTCTGAATACGCAGCTGGAAATGCATAGAATGCTGTAAWTGAATATTAGTCCGCTAAAATAGCCCGGGGGAGAGAGGGGGGGAAGCCCATGTAATCCATTACCTCGTTTCCTGTAGTAAACAAAATTCGTCCTGCGTTGTCCTACTCCATACTTCTTGTTTTTTGTCACCTCACAGTTATTCGAGCAACCATATCTATCATAAGCTCCAYCTTCATCAGATCCCCAACATGCATTTCCATCCTGGATTCCCAGGAAGACTAAATCTCGAAGTTCTGCCCATTTTTTACATTCTTGAAAGATGAGAAAAGGGTTCTTCGACTTATGGACGCGTCCAAGGAAGCGGTTTAAGGCATGTGATCTTTTGTCCTTATAGCACCCAAGTGCMCGCCATTCTGGCAATACTATATTCAATAAAAGAGCAGCCGCGTTTTGTGAAAATAGTGTTGTATRGTTTTTGCTCGCTTAAACGCTATTTAAACTGCGAATATTTAGGAGTGACCTAGCAAAATCCAGTAGCGAATCCAAAACGTTATTCAATGGGTGTGACAAGGGTGTAAAATATTTGAATGGATACAGTGAGGGTTGTGGGAAAAGGGTCACTCTCATATGAGCCTGCTTCAGTTGTTTTTGTAAAATGATAGTCTTGTTGAAATTTAATTTTTCTATTTTTGAGACCCTAAAATGAGGGATTGATAGGGCATCCTCCTCACTCCCCTTGTGTCAGTACTTGGTCTTGGGATAACCAAGCTATAACAAGGGAAAAAACTAGAAAACAAATGATAATTTTACCACGACGAGCTCCAACTTCGCATATGCTGATCAGTGCTATTACAATTATAGCGTGAATTCTTTTGGCTGCCATGGCGATGGGGAAGCACACAGCTATTAAAACAAATAGTATTTTAGCAATAGTAACTTTAAAATATAAGCTTTTATCGGATTTTAGCTTCGTACATTACCCATTCATGTCCCATTTGGCAGAACGCTGTACCTGGGAAACTGGGAGACCTTGGTCATTAAAGTCAAAACTACGAATGTAGCCATTTCATGTAGCTATTCGAAATGAAATAGCTAGTGAATGTATAACCTTTAATACTGCTTAAAATTGTATAATTTCCAATTTTGAAAAAAAATCATTTGGAACTTCGAGAATTGATGTTTTAAAATCTCTTCAATACATGATATCAGAATTTACAAAGAAATGCAAAAAATAGCCAATCACCCTAGCCTACGTTTTTCTTTCTTTGCAAAATGAGTTTGTGGAGCGATATTATCTGGAATTTTCGACGGAGCTTTCTAGAACAGATATACTATTTTCAGGCTGACCTTTTATCCGTACCAGTCGATTTTAGTAAGCGATTTTATTCCGAATGACTAGGTTAACCATAAAAAGGGCTCTTATTGATGGATGTTATACTTACTCAAATTAAAAAAGGATAAAGCTTCATAAATTTCAGTTGAAACACAACTTAGATTTCTCAGCCGAGTGTGCAAGACACCGTACAAATAGACGTAGGAAAAACAAATGAAAGCCAACTTATACATGACAGCAGGCCGCCACCAGCAGTATTGCAAAACAGATGTTGAAAATTACGTTATCAATGAACAATGCTAGCAGTGAGACGCCTTTTAAATTCTATAATGTTCATGTTATCGTCCCAATCACCCGAATTTCATTTAAAAAGCGCTTTTGCATTGCTCTAGTSTTTTTGCAATTGGGACGCACATTGAGGCCTTAGATGTCGTGGGGCCATCAGGATTTATTGGCAATTATATACTTGTGAGTTTTAATTAGTTTTTAATTTTCTATTTGTTCGCTCTTTGTTCTTACTTGGCGGCCCTTTATAGTTTAGAATGTATTATTATTTTGTATAACTAAACAGTGTGGAGACCTTATGCATCCTCTATCGCACATAAACATGATGATATAAAAGATAAAAAATATATAGCTATCAACGCCCATTGTTTATTCTGCGGCGCATTTGCTTCAAGATTTTTAAGAAAGTGGTTCATGATAGCGTGCATCCATTCATTATCGAGATGCACAATCATGAGGAAACTTAGGGACTTAAGTTATTGATGTTTCATAATAATAATGTTCCAAAGGGCTGCAAAACAACCAATGTTTCTTTCAGTTGAGAAGCACTTCTCGCTTCTAAATTGAGTTATTTTATTCTTGTTGATTTTTCTCTTTTTTCAGTAGTCAGTATCTTACTGCGATTTCATTCTACACTGTATGATAGCGAGGGTACTTATAATGGATGAAAATCAGCAATTCAAAAATAGATAAATATATGCTAAAAACTCGACTACTCCACTAGTTCCGACAATATTCTACATGCCCAAGTTTACAACACTAAAACTTCATTGAAAATAGTTTTTTTGATTACCTTATATCCCAAAAGTAGCAGTAAGTTTTTTTAAAACGTTTTAATAAACATATGTTTCCTTCATGTTTATTACCAAATATCGAATCGAAATTATTGTCGACCACTGAACACTGAAAATGCATTGAAAACAGTTTACTAGTGATTGCTTATCCTAAGAATTTTACCAAGCACCAGTTAACATGCTTGCTTCATGCTGATTTACAAATATCGAATCGCAGTTGTCGACCAATTGTCAATGCGTGCGAGAAACTGTCTAGAAGCTTAGGAGAAGCTTGCCTTGTGGTGCTTCTCTCATAAACGATTTTTATTACATTTGAGCATTTCTCAGCTGACGTCTTTATTGATCGTTGCAATAGACATGCCGCTAATCGTAATCAAGTAATCAAGGCTATTTGCAATCGTTTCCAATTAACTATTAGGATGTACAGCAAAACCCAGTATGACATCTCCATTTCTGATCTGATGTTCTCTGAATACGATATTGTCCGGCTGACAATATATAGGCAACACATACCGAGGAACACGAAATCTTAGGTATAGAGATAATATATAAAATATTAGCGGCAGCGTGCAGCTTGCATTTTTTAAACTGCCATAAAGTTCGGACGCGGATATTTTATATTGCCTCTCCAACTCCAACTTAAGATAAAGCATATTTTGCTAAAACCTTCGAGATAAAGTATCACATTTAAGAAATTAATCGTATGCAAAATAGGACGAATCTCTTTCTCATGCAAAAGGGGGGCACGGCAATGATTTTCCGTTGTGCTTACCTTATGAATTATTAATAATTTGATAATGATATTGAAAATGATGGCGAGCAGGAGCATATTTGGCGTTTTTAAACATAAAAAAAATTTGTAAAAAAATAAATAAAAATATGTAAGTGTTCTTCGAGCCCAACTGCCCAACTTTCCAAAAAGCACCAGTGAAACCAAATTGCGAATCATCACTTTGACTAGCTAGTTACTCAAATAAACATTTTCAATGATTCGTCCAATTTGATCAGCTAGCTAGTGAATAAAGTAATACAATGATTACAGTTTGGGATCCATTGTTTCAAGAGGGAAGTTAAAATGTCTAATGTCCCTCTTACATGAATAAGATTGAGGGAGATTTAGAACTAAATCTATCACTGATCCATTTTGTACTTGTGTCGGGTTGGCGTATCTTATATAAGTTTCACAAAAAGTTACCCTATTCTACCAATTACAGATCAATTTATATAAGATCAAATGCGAGCCTACACGATTTATTAATTAACAATCAATAACAACAAGGCAATTAATAGGAAATGTGCAGCGACGGCATAATGCTCAGCAAAGCATGATGGTAATTGCAGTGAATATTTTTTTCTTAAAAACAAGCAGCTAACTATAAAACAATTATTTACAAGCATATTATTACATCATAGTGAGCTACATAATAATATTACATTATATATGTTTAATTGTTCAGGAATCCCTGATGTTTCCATCTTCCTAAAGAGGAAAATGCAAATTATTATAAGTTCAAGTTAACATTATATTAGTAAAACAAATTATAATATATATAATACTAAAAGGCATTTTAAGGTAATATGGAATCCGGCAACCAATAAAAGTATAACAGTATAAATCTGGAATCCGGAATCCGAGCCACTGAATCCAGAGCAGCTAATTCCAAATTTCCTTACATGGGCCAAGCCAGATCGAATGACAAAATGTTCGCCTAGGTATTCCTTTGGGATAGAGGACACAAACATATCAGGACTTTTAAAATGAGTTAATTACATGTTATTGAGTTTTCATTGGTACACTCGATCAGTCCAGCTCCAATTTCCAGCTCCAAGTGCTTTGGAGCGAACCGCCGGTTTGTTTGAAAATTGAGATTGACGGTAGTCAATCGCTAATGTAACATCATGAGTTGTTGATGCCTAGGCTAGTCGAAGAGTGGACTTTCCCAAAGAAAGAAAAATTATTTATCGGAAGCTCAAGAATCAAGGTAAAATAAAATACTTAAGATATAATTGTACAGTTTGCTGTGTTGTGGAGTATTCCCAGTTGAATTGTCGATTCTTTGCCGTGTCTATCTTAATTCTGATTGCTTGTATGTAGAAACATTTGCAGATAAATCAATTGATACACAGATTAACTGATTAAGTGTTCACTCTACGCGTAAAAAAAAGCTGGTCTAAATTACAATTGA